TCAAGATAGCTGTCATTATCAAACTTAATGCCTTTGTTAGCTATAGACCTATGGCGGATCGATTGAGGAAAGAACTATTCCTGTATGCGACACTCACTTTCACGAAACGTTAATATTAAAACTCATGATATAAACCATTCTTTTTGGTTCATACATGGTTGTCTCTCATTTTCACCCTGTCACTGATAAACCAGATGGGAGTTAGTATATAACCGATTTCCAGACATCACTATACGGACATTTCTCATCTGAAATCAATTATAATTAACAGATTTTATACTAACAACAATAACAGCAAAAACAACAAGCCATTCAAAACGCTTCAATAAGAGTTCCTGGATTCAAAGTCACGACTATCCTTAGATTTACAACCTGACTTTGACTTTGTGCCAATTGCTATGTGTAGATCAGTTGTTACGAGGAAAAAAACTTACAAGGAGTTCAAAACAGCGACCAAAGGCCCCAGGATTTAAAATCATGCATGGTCTCTTGACCACGTCATTTACAGTAACTCTTCTATCGTTGGCAAAGGTAATTATCGTATTTCAGAAGTTTATTCTGGAATCTTGGTACACCAAGGCGACTCCTAATACGAAAAATAACTCGTATCCACTCCAAGGAAAATTTTTTTTTTCAAAACTTGAGGTGAGAAAAACTGGCAATTAATATTTTATCTCATTTTTTTGTTTTTTGTTTTTTTGACTATTTCATCTCCATTCTTGTTGATTTTTTCATTTTATCCGTTTTTTTTTCCTGATTAGTGCAATTTAATAGTATTATATTACTTAATCATACACTACGGTCTAAATTCCTTTCAGTGTCGTCACTTTATCAGGAACTTTGAACTCTTTGAAGAACTACAGAACACCAGTTTTAACATATCGTACCAGCTTTCCTATGAATGATATGCTAATCATTCTATAAGCATTTTGCCCTTCTCACCCCTGTGCAATGTAGGCAAAATCCTTAAAGTGCCTATGAAGTAAAAAATAATTGCTGCTGATTTGAAAGGCTTTTCAAAGTAAAGAAGAATGGCGTTTTCCTTTTTGGAATACCTTTTTTCGTTTTAGAGATATTCACGTTTTTGTATTATAAGTGATGACGTCATAGGTGGTTCCACTGAAACAGTTCAACACTCAATCAAGAATATCTCTAGAAATATTAAAGCAGTGTTCTTTAAACTTGGCA